TGAGCTTCTGTTACGTCCTGGAAGTGAAATGACTCAGATTGTCAAAATTATTTATAGTAAAATCTTAACTAGATGGCGATCTGGGAAACATTGAGGAATTCCTTTAAGATTAACTATTATTTTAATCAGTTTAAAAGGAAGAAGTTTAACCCTCAGAGCTTGAAGTTTTGTTTCTTTTGTGTTCAACATGAGAAACATGTCAGGTTATTTGGTTTCAATTTTTTTATTGATTCGTACAAGTTTTATTTTAACCTAAAACGCAAAAATGTTTGCCAGCGTACCAACAAATCATCAATAAGTGCTGCCACATACATACTTAAACATTTTCCATTCATTTTAATAAAGATTGGCGACGACTTCATGTTGGTGAGATTTTCATTATTTTCATTTGTCCCCATTTTTTATTCAAATTAAGGTGGATAAGCTTTTTTTTATCTTTCATAGGGTTTTTTCTTCTTGCTATTTCAGTTGATCCTTACATTCTACTTCTAAAACCTTTTAGAAAAATGCTTGACATCTTTTCTTTTAAATGTGTTTTTTTTGCAAGATATTTAGTGCTTAAACCCATTGAGATGAGCGGGCGTCCATCTATGCACCACCGATTTGAAGGTTACACACATTCATAATCCCCTCCAGATGTGTCATACAGTGATACACATCTGTCCCATTGGCTGACTGATATATTTGTTTGGTGTTAGCGTTATTTTCTTTTATCCATACCTGCTGATTTGTCTAGGGTCTGTTGGATTAATTTGTACATTCAGCAGCCATGTCATGAAGCGCGTGCAATTACCTTTCCCTCCAGTTACTTTCCATTGTTAATATTTTCTTGGATTTGTGAACAAATGTTACTTTTCTTTTGTGCAATTTCAGACTTATGTAACATGATTGTAACTTTTTAAATCATTAGAGGCTGAAGAACCAATATCTGCACCAAGAATTAGTCTAAAAATGTGGACAGCTCATGCCGGGGACCCGTTAGACTGGTGTCATAATAATCGGTATTGATACTGGCCTAAAAATGACCTGCATCGGTCAATCTCTAGCATGTTCTTTTCTTGTTTTATTAGGGCTTCTCTAAATGGGATCTAAACTGCTTAATCACCTCCATAAATCTGTCAGTTTGTGTCAGTGTGATGCAATGGTAAATATCTTGGTTATTCAGCTGCTTATAGTGACTCAGCTTAAGGTAGTTTTTGTTTATTTATTTGTGTTTCGTTTAGCCGTTGAATTTGGCCAAGTTCAGGACTCTATAAACATTCAGGAATAGATCCGTTTTTAGGAGGTTTGGACGGTACACTGGGATCAATTCCTGTGCTCCCTGTCCGTGCTGGATGCTGAGGCCAAAGTCCGTTGGTGTGTCGAAGGTGTTGCCAATATCTGGCAAAGGTGAAATCTCTGAACTTTCTGGAACAATCAGAGAGTGAGCTTAAATAAAGGGGAACAAAGACAGTGTGGTTCCTGATTCATTGTTTTCCCATTTAGAAATGATCAGCTCGATGAAATGAGCTATTTCAGGTATGTTAAGATTTTCAGTCTGTCTACTTCAGATAAAACTTTTTTTTCTTTCATACACAAATGTTAAAGAACAAAAAAGGCACTGGTTAAACTGCTCTTGGAAGCCACCGGTTTAAATTCATAGAGGATTTGTTTTTGACAAACCTGTCAACTGTTCGTGACAAATGTCAGGTCTGTTGCTACATTTCACTGTATTTCCTGAAAAACAAACTAACAAAAACAGTGGAGCTTTCTTATCATTTCTCATCATTTAGACGGCAGCTGATGTTCTTTTGCTCACTGATAAAACTGATAGGAAAAGGTCCCTGATGGCAGATGTTTTTTAAAACCATTAGAACCTGGTAAGGCTAAAACTATGCTACTGGAGTTTTGGATAGTGTATTTAAAGACAGAGGAAAAAGGTTATTTATTTTAAATCTATATGAAGTTTTGGCTTAATTTTTCATCTAAATCAGTTGTTCTTTCAGCAATTTGCATGTTTTAGGTTCCAATAACTCAAGTTTAGGTTTATTTCATTTCTAAATTTGTTTCAGTAATTAATCACAATCAGTCCAATATGTTTTTAGCTTACTCTTCGTTAATCTGATTTGAAAATTGAAATATTTGAGCAAATTCAATAATTTAGCGCAAGTTTTTAAAGGTTTTTCCCAAACCGATGGATGATCTATAGTTTACAATGTTAGTAGTTTTCATCACAGGCTGTTACTACAATTGTTAACTCAACTGATAGATTTTTATTTTATAAATGGTTGAATGTAGATTTTTTTATCTAGTAGTTTTATTTAAAATCAGATGTTAGCATTTTATGACATGTAAAAAACACAAAAACAAGCATTGCCTCTAAGATAAGCCTTAATACAGAAGTCTTTTAATGTTAAGTCTCCATTTTAGTTTTTTAGATCTATTTTGCTATCGTGCATCTATGTAAAAGAGGCTATATAATCTTGTGACTCTATTGTAATATTTTTGCTTATTTGGCCTGAAATCTAAACAGTATTGGAGCATCAGAATAGCTAATATTTGCAGACCACTAACTCTCCACAGGTGCTTAGACCTCTATATTGAGAGTAATGAATGTATTCATATTTGTTGTGTCTATGAAGCTACGCAGCTCGGGAGGTGCCAAACATTTTACTGTCAGAGACTAGTGACCCACTAAGATGCATCCCATTATTTGAAAATCTATAGTTTTGATAAAATGTTTATTTTTCTCTCATGATTAATTAATTTTTGTAAAATTTTACTTAATGTTTAGTTTCATAATTTAAAAGGAATGTTTGATTATTTAATGGTACATTTATTTATTTAAATTTGTCCCTTTCAACCATCCATACACCTGTAACTCCACTTTGAAAACCCCTGATTTTAGCACGTGCTGCAAAAAAGTAAACTTTTTAGTCAACAGCAGTAATGTTTGCTTTGCAGGCTGCGTGATAAAGATCATAGCTGTCAGCTTGGTATCCTCGTAGTAAGATTGAGCTTGGAGATTACATGGGTGAGACTAAAACATGCTTACAGTAAAATAAGGCGTGTCGGCTCTTTCGATGTGAAAAATGTTTCACGACTTGACGTTCATGCCGAAACTAAAGATTTAATATTTTCTTGATGTTGCTTTTTGTATAAAACTGCTTGTTGATGTATGCATGCTGCCGAGCTCTCTAGCTCAGGTGGGGGAATCCATTAATGGGCCATCAAAGAAGTTTCTCTGCTCAGATGAGACCAGCATTGGTTTTCTGGCTAAATGTATTGGTTTTCAGCTATAATAGATGAATGTACAGGTGCTGGTCATAAAATTAGAATATCATGAAAAAGTAGATTGATTTCAGTAATTCCATTTAAAAAGTGAAACTTGTATATTATATTCATACATTACATACAAACTCATATATTTCAGATGTTTATTTTGTTTAATTTTGATGATTACAAATGACAACAAATGAAAATCTCAAATTCATCATATCAGAAAATTAGAATATTGTGAAAAGGTTCAAAATTGATGGCCCCTGGTGCCACACTCTAATCAGCTAATTAACTCAAACCACCTGCAAAAGCCTTTAAATGGTCTTTCAGTCTAGTTCTATAGGCTACACAATCATGGGGAAGACTGCTGACTTGACAGTTGTCCAAAAGACGACCATCGACACCTTGCACAAGGAGGGCAAGACACAAAAGGTCATCGCTAAAGAGGCTGGCTGTTCACAGAGCTCAGTGTCCAAGCACATTAATAGAGAGGCGAAGGGAAGGAGAAGATGTGGTCGAAAAAAGTGTACAAGCAAGAGAGATAACCGCACCCTGGAGAGGATTGTGAAACAAAACCCCTTCAAAAATGTGGGGGAGATTCACTAAGAGTGGACTGCAGCTGGAGTGAGTGCTTCAAGAACCACCACACACAGACGTATGAAAGACATGGGTTTCTGCTGTCGCATTCCTTGTGTCAAGCCACTCTTGAACCACAGACAGCGTCAGAAGCGTCTAAAGAGAAACAGGACTGGACTGCTGGTGAGTGGTCCAAAGTCATGTTCTCTGATGAAAGTAAATTTTGCATTTCCTTTGGAAATCAAGGTCCCAGAGTCTGGAGGAAAAGAAGAGAGGCACTTCATCCACGTTGCTTGAAGTCCAGTGTAAAGTTTCCACAGTCAGTGATGGTTTGGGGTGCCATGTCATCTGCTGGTGTTGGTCCATTGTGTTTTCTGAGGTCCAGGGTCAACGCAGCCACATACCAGGAAGTTTTAGAGCACTTCATGCTTCCTGCAGCTGACCAACTTTTTGGAGATGCAGATTTCATTTTCCAACAGGACTTGGCACCTGCACACAATGCCAAAGCTACCAGTACCTGGTTGAAGGACCATGGTATCCCTGTTCTTAATTGGCCAGCAAACTCTCCTGACCTTAACCCCATAGAAAATCTATGGGGTATTGTGAAGAAGAAGATGCAATACACCAGACCCAACAATTCAGAAGAGCTAAAAGCCACTATTAGAGCAACCTGGGCTATCATAACACCTGAGCAGTGCCACAGACTGATCGACTCCATGCCACGCCGCATTGCTGCAGTAATACAGGCCAAAGGAGGCCCAACTAAATACTGAGTGCTGTACATGCTCATACTTTTCATGTTCATACTTTTCAGTTGGCCAACATTTCTATAAATCCTTTGTTTTTATTGGTCTTCAGTAATATTCTAATTTTCTGATATGATGAATTTGAGATTTTCATTTGTTGTCATTTGTAATCATCAAAATTAAACAAAATAAACATCTGAAATATATGAGTTTGTATGTAATGTATGAATATAATATACAAGTTTCACTTTTTGAATGGAATTACTAAAATCAATCTACTTTTTCATGATATTCTAATTTTATGACCAGCACCTGTATATGAACATTTTCCTGTCTTTATCCTGGATTAGGTCAGAAAAGGTAGATAATTTAGTGTTTTTGCTCTGGTCCTTCAGTGTAACATTTCTTTCTTTTTTACAGGTAAATGGTTTGTCTTCATCAACAAAGCCAAAGAAACAAAGCTCTGAAGAAGAAACTATCACCTTGTTCCCCATTAACTTTATTTGCCCGGTGGTGTTCCTCTCTGGTCAAAACATCTGCTAAAAATCTGCACCCAGGCAGACTTTGGGTCCCTCGTCTTGATATCTCGCATTTTTCTTTGCCCCTGGTGACAATCCAGAGGACACAACCTCTACTGCTCTGCCTTCAGAGGAACTGCTGGGTCGCTACCAAAAGGAATATGTGCTAGAGGCCGAACATCTGCTATAAACAGCTGCTCAACTTTGAGTGGAGAAGATGAGCAATGAGGACGAGTTTTACGACGCCGTCACAGGTGGGGCCTCTTATTTTCATTTTTTGTTTTACTTCGGTTTCCCGTCATGCTGGTTCTGAACAGATGGAAACGGTTTTCAGGTCGTCTTAAAATCTTCAAAACTTCCTTTGCCTTAAGCCTTTTTTTGCTCCCAGAGTTAATAATCTAATTCTAGCTGCAGCTTCCTCCTTAGTCACAACAGTCTGCAGAATCTTCTCCCTTTCCTCTTCCCTCCACATCCAACATCCCTTCTTCAGTATTTTCTCTGTTCTCTGCTCTTATCCAAACCATCTCATCCCTGATGAGATTGTTCATTAAGATGTTCCCTGTGACATTCGGGTAAAAACGGCACAAAGTGTTGCCCTTTATCCACAGGGTAAATGTCTACAGGGTGACATCTGACGAAACGTTGTCTGTGCTGTGGACAGGGCACTCTGTTATCAGGTGACTAAACTTGGCTCAGGGTCTCAGCCTTGCCTGGGTCTTATTTTCTCTCTAAACCACTCGACCTGAGCCGTCCTTCCCATATATACTCTTTTTTTTAATCTTGTTGAACTTAGTTTCTGAATCTTCCACCTTCATATCTATTTGCTGACTGCCCATAATAGACATGCCTGTCCAAACTTTAATGTCCCAGGCTGCTCTTCTGTCACAAACATGACATTAGTATCCATGCATGACCACCTGCTGTTTATTTGACTCCTATGCTCATGCTATAAAAATTAAAGTTTAATAGGTGATTTTCGGTCACAAGGAGAGAAATATACATTTCAAGTTGAATGATTTTTACGAGCATCCAACCCTGAGGCAGTAACTGGAGCTTTCTGTTATTGAGGGATAAAATCATGCCCTCTTATCTCATTTGTTTCAGCCTGAAATCACCTCAATAATTCAGAGGTAGGTCGTCTCATGGTCATGATCGCCATTACAAACATCATCTGTGATGTAGCTGCTGTAACTCACTGGCTGCTTATCACATTTTTTTTTATTTACCGTAATTTTCGGACTATTAGCTGCAGAAGTTAAATTGCATGATTTGTACATATAGAAGCCGCACTGGACTATAAGCGGCAGGTTTTTTATGTTTAATTACCATATGGTTCGTGCACAGAGAGGATTGTCTGTCTCGTACCACTTGCGGTAGAAGTCTGCTTCCGGAGGACCTCCTCATTCTCGCACGCGTGGCTACCGTACTTGTGTGTTGAAGCAAATGTGACGTCAGCATGGTGGATGGTAAAATCCATAGATTTAGGTATTACCCTAGTGGCCGTTAGCTATAAAAGTCCTTAGATAAGCCGCATTGTTATATAAGCCGCGAGGTCGAAAAATGGGGAAAAAGTTGCGGCTTATAGTCCGAAAATTACGGTATTAATTCTTTTAACAAATGTATAAAAATAAATATAAATAAAAAAAAGAGTCAGATAACAGTCCTCTTAAGTAGTGCCTTGGTGGGACCCCCCTGTCATTTAAAAGAAAGTTTCCACACACCCCTGCAGGTATTTTGCCAGTGTTGAATAAAACATATGGCTAAAAATAATCAAATCTTTCACAAAACTGACTATTAGAGTTGAATTATTTTAAGTTGAACTGTTTTAGTGTGTAATTAAAAAACCTATGTATGATTTTTTTTATTTTTTTATTATTATTATTATTAGCAGTACTATAGACTGTATATCTTCCCTGTAGTCTATCGCCCTGGCCATAGACCCTCTTTCTAATCAAACGTTTCCGCTGAGTCGGGCTTTCCAAAATGGATCAGAGGGAACTTTTTTTTTTCCGTAACACTTTGAGCTTCCTTTGATTTACTGACGGGTATTTCCCTTTTTTTTTAAACCTCCATAATTAGCAGATACCTCTGTAGAAACAGCTTCCCTTTTCAGATTCTTCTGATATTTCTCATAGCTTCTCCGACAGTGGTAGCAGATTTAGTCTTCTTTCAACTTCCACACTGAAGAGTGTTATTGTTGATTCTGTCAGCACTCATGTTTTGTGAATTTTCCTATCGATGCTGAAGCATTGTGGGTCGTCTTCATTACTAACTATAACAAGGTCAGGCTGACATGAACGCAGTCACATCTTCAATGTAAACTGAAGATTTTCTCCAATTTCAATATAGAGGTCTTCAAAATATCTGATGTTTGCTGCCTATCGTCTTATTCATCACCACTAAATGAATTGTTTGTTTCTTGATAAATACATGACTTTGTGTCTCTACCAAAGCAGTTAAAAATACACACCTTGTACCTTTTTGCTGTCCAACAAAAGCTGAAACTACTTTGTGTATTTAAAGTGAAGGCCTCACCTTGCTCTGAACTCCACCCTTCTGTATGTTTTAAGCTGTACAGTCGGCCAACAATTATAGCAGGATTCTGTTACCTTGGAATGTCAGCTTATGGCTTAAATGTTTTATGGTTTTAGTAATCTTGCAGATTTTATATAGCTCTATGTTATTGTATATGAAACAGACAAAAAAACAGTTTCCTAAAGAGACGAGTCACTGTAAACTGTTTCAATCAATAAAATTTGCCATTCAAATCTGAGCTAAAGTTCCTGATGCAAAGCAGTTTGCACCCAGCCATGGATGGCTGTAAAGATCCAGTGTGGCAAAGAAGGAAAAAAAAAAAACAAATATTTAATCTGTCAGCAGATGGAGGTGACATGGCAGTCGTTGGTCAATTTTTAATCCAGTGATTAGTTTTTTTTAATTTATTAAGTTTCCACAGAGTGTTGACCTTGTGTGATACATGTCTGCGCCGTGTCTTAACTTGGGTCAATTCTTGCATCCTGCAGGCCTGGATTCAGACGAGTCGTGTGAGGGGTTGTCTGAGGCCAGTTTCAAAGATGCCCGGGGGTTTGATTGCAGCACTCAGAAGAACAATGGATCAGTACCACAAGAGAACGGCATCAAGAAACACAGGTTCAGCCTCATTCCTGCGCCACATTCCGCCCTCCGTTTGTCTGGATTATGCTCCCGTCACAGGCTGATGGACTCTTCTTTCTGAAACCAAAACCATACTAGAGAATCATTGGTTTTCTTTAGTTAACTGATTAACTTGATACTCATTTCCTTCGCCTCTCTGAATAAAACTGTCACGTATGACTTAATATAAATGGAATGTATATGAAAGAAGCAGAAATGAGTGTAGAACATGTCATTACAGACTGACTCATACACGAGTGTTATGCGTATTGACTTTCATTTGTTTTAGTGACGTGGTGCACAGTGGAAAACTACAGCTCCAAGAAAGACTCACAGGGCCTGTTCATGTGAACTGATCTGTTTGTCTATACTCACTGGTATACGTCTCTGAGGGTTTAGGATTTCCTCCTTTGTTTCTGTAGTGTTTGCTAAGTCATGCGTACCTGTCATAAAATCTGATCCACGGATAAACTTGAAAATAGCATCCTTCTCTTATCTACATCCTTGTCTCTGTGTCTCCCTTTCTTATACAGGACATCTTTACCAGCACCCATGTATTCCAGAAACACAGTCAGCATCTGGAGTATCCTGAAAAAATGTATTGGACTGGTAAGATCTAGTTTGTTGCATTTTGACAGATAAAATAATAATAAAAACAAAAAAAAATCCAATGCCTAATCATTATGTTTGCACATTATCAGAGAGGCAGCTTTCAGTTTTGAGAAGATTATTAATCCATATTGAGAGGTCATGTTTTCTGGTTTTATACGGTGGACTGATCACTGATGATCCAACATAATGTTTTTTGATCGCATTTAATTTACTTCCTCTGTCAATCTGTTATTATTATTATCTTTTGTACCATCATATTCTTTTTGCAGCCATCAAGAAAGATGTTTTCTAATTCTCTTCAGATATTTGATCTCCTGTTTCGTGAAAGCAGAGCATTCAGTTGGTTCGGTCTGTCTTTCTATCTTGTTGTTATGGCCCTCGTTTTGGATCAGTGTCCTGTTTAAACACCCAGTTTAGCTTGTTTTAACTAGTGTTGCGCCGATGCCATTTTTTGGCCCCGATACCGATACCCAATACCTGGCTGTGCAGCATCGGCCGATACCGATACCATAATAATGTAAAATAATTCCCATCATGGCTTTGTCAAGCTGCTGCCTACGTTTGTAAAGCAGGAAAAATCTAATACAAAGTGAATCCAATAGGACTTTTTATTGCCTACCTAGAATGGGTGACAATAGTAGAATAAACTTATGGCTCTCAAAATGGTATCGGTGCATTATTTGTTGGTACTTGCCGATACCGATACCACCATTTTAGGGCAGTATCGGGGCCCGGTCCGATACTGGTATCGGTATCGGTGCAACACTAGTTTTAACCCCCGATCTTCAAATGCTGATTTATGTGGAGATTTATTACTCTATCCATTTTGTAACATCAGCAGGGGACCGAACTCCAGCATGATGGTGCTACCCCCAGAAGAAAACAAAACAAAACCACCATTCAGTCTTTGCAAAGTCTCCACAAGGAGAGATGAGGCTGTATTAGGTCTGGTTAATGAGTAAAGCTCTGCTCACGTATTTTGCTAGAGGCGTTGGTAATGAAACACATTCCTGGCCTCTGATTCAAACTGGGAGCAGCATTTAGGACTCCCTCAGTCAGCTGTGGCTTGGTGTGATCAGTCTTTTTAACATGGCACCGCTAATAAAACCTAATCCCTGACCCTGGAGGATGCATGAACACAGAAACTACTGAGAAACAAATCACAGCTGAGTGCTCCTGCAGCTTAGCCTGCAGGCAGTCATAAGTGACTGATGAACATGTAGATCAGCTGAGTGGCTGGAAACACCTGCTGCTTGTTTAGATGCATCAGACTGGAAGCAAAAATGGGAACACCCCCTCTGTCTTATGCACAGCCCCAAAAGTATGATCCTGTCTGTGCCACACACAAAAAACAAACATTAAGCATGATCAGGTTGCAGCTTAAATTAGTTTGTTTCTTTTATTATTTAGCACTGAAATGGAATACAGAACAGAATTAAATACCTTGCTAAGAAGCTATTATACTTTGGTCTAAAAGAGCCCAATAAAATAAATATGAAATTATCTGGTAAGTTAAGAGTTCTACTGTTATCACTGTTTTTTTCCCCAGTGTCTTCATCAATTTGTATTTGTACATGCATGGCAAGCTTCTGTAAACAAACAATACATTTTGAACTCCTACATTATTGTCTTTGTAACCAATTAGCTTAAAAATTATCTAATTTAAGCTTAAAGCCTTTCACCAGAACGCAATGCAGGGCAAGTTTATTCGATAGCACAATTCATATAAACTGCTTTATTTAAATTAAACAATAAAACAGAAGAAAAATAAAAGCAAATGAAAAAAAAGCAGGTAGTAAAATAAAAACAATTTGACAGCGACCTAAACTAATAATTCATTAGTTAACAGTTTAACTTTAACAATCGAAAGCAGCTCTAAACAAATGGGATTTTAGCTTGGACTTTAAATAACTCAGCCTCCCAGCACTTTTCAATTCTTCTGAGACTTTGTTCCAGATAAGTGGAGCATAGGAGCTAAATGCTGCTCCTCCATATTTGGTTCTAGTTCTGGGTGTACAGAGTAGAGACTGACACGGGAGTGGATTTTCACTCCTGTCCCGTCCAAATCTCGGGCCAGAGATGAAATCTAAATCCTGTCCCGTCCCACTCCTGTTGAAATTACTCCCACTCCCATCCCGCTCCCATTCAGAATGACTCCCGCTCCTGCACCACTCCCATTCTTGTTTTTTTTTTTTTTTTTTTTTTTTTGAGCGCGGGTGAAAAACTCAGAGCGGAAGCACTGTTGGTTTTTGGGTCGTGTAGTTTTTTTTGACTCGCATTATAGTGTAGACTTCAAGGAAAAAAACTACAAAATGGCGGCGCCAGTACTGGATTTTTTTTCTTTCTATTTTATTTAATTTTTTGGCATCGATCCTAGTTTTTTTTAGTTGCTATTGGTTTGCTCCCGTCTTCTCCCGTTAATGTTTAATCCTGTACCATCCCAATCAGGTTATCGTTACTAATACTGACTCCCATCCCACGGGAATCCCACGGGAATCCCGTGACCCGTGGGATTCCCGAAAAAATGTCAGTCTCTAGTACAGAGCAGACTGGGACTAGCAGACATGCAGTGTGGTCTGGGGAGTTGATAGACTGACAACAAATCTGTTATGTATTGAGGTGTGATCCATTCAGTGATTTATAGACTAACAGAAGGATTTTAAAGTCTAATCTCTGAGCTAAAGGGAGCCAGTTTAAATACTCTAGAACTGGGCTGATGTGCACTATTTTATTATGTCTAGTGAGAACACAGGCAGCAGGGTTTGGGATCAGCTAAAACTACTAAAACAAATGAAATGCATGAATGAGTTCTTCTAGATCCTGCTTTGACAAAGGTCCTTTATTCCTTGGAAATGTTTTTCAGGTGATAAAAGGCTGACTTAGTAACTGCCTTTATGAAGTTTCAGGTCCGAGTCCATCATGAAACCAAGATTTCGGCCATAACCAGTGTTTTCTAGCTAAAGTAGCTGAAGCTGTGAGCTAACTCTGGAGCTTTACGCCTTTGGTCCAAAGATTATTACATCAGTTATGTTTTTATGCAGTTGGAGAATATTATGGTGTATCCACATATTGACCTGTTCTAAGCATCTAGCCAACGCTTTCATGGCTTCATAGTCACTTGGCTACATTGTCATGTAAAGCTGTGTATCATATGAATAGTTGTGGTAACTGATGTTTTGCTATATTCTGAGCCATGGGGAGCATGTAGGCATTGAATAGAAGGGGCCCCAGAATGGAGCCTTGAGGAATCCCACATGTAATTTTTCTGGTCTCTGATTTAAAGTTCCCTTCTGACACATTAAAGTCTCTGTCCTTCAGATAGGATTTAAATCAGTTTAAAGAGGCACCAGAAATGCAGACCCAGTTTTCCAAACACTCAAATAAAATCAAGTGATCAAATGTATTAAACACTACACTGAGGTCCAGTAATATCAGCCCTATAGTTCTTCCAGAGTCTGAATTCATACGTAGGTTCCAGTCACATTTCTCCTGTCAAAATCAAATATTTTCTGATTTGGACCCGTCTTGGTCGATGTAAGCCGACCTTCTGTAGACAGGGGGCTGTGATAAACAGTCAAAGACGAAGCGGTCTGAAATTCAAAGGATTTGCTATTCCCTATTCTCTCCCAGCTGACCAAAGTCAAATGATTTTTTTTCTCCCAAAGGAACTGTCCAAGATCACGATGCCCATCGTCTTCAATGAGCCACTGAGCTTCCTCCAGAGGATCTCAGAATATATGGAACATACTTACCTCATCAACAAGGCCTGCTCACTGTCCAACTCCATAGAGCGCATGCAGGTGAGAGAAACACGCAGACCTGCATTTCTATCATCTAGGTTAAATTGTTTGCACTTCCATTAACAGTTTGGATTGAAATGTGTTCTGTCCTATGATTTAATGTTTTTTTAAAAGCTATTTTCTGAAGAGCAAATCTAAAAGTAAACCACCGCTTCAATAGCTATAATCCTCCAAGCTAACATGTTCTGCACTTTTTAAATCAGACGGTAGCTGCTTTCGCCGTGTCAGCAGTTGCGTCTCAGTGGGACCGAACTGGAAAACCCTTCAACCCGCTGCTGGGGGAAACCTTTGAACTCATCAGGTACCGACATATCTGCACACAAAGACTTACGGCGATCGTCCTCAAAGCTCAGTCTTCCTCACCAGTTAGTTTGCTTTATTGTGTCTTTTCTGCAGAGAGGATCAGGGTTTCCGGCTGGTGTCAGAGCAGGTGTCCCATCATCCTCCAATCAGTGCCTTCCACGCAGAGAGCCTGTCCGGGGACTTTGTCTTCCATGGCTCCATCTATCCCAAGCTCAAGTACTGGGGGAAGAGTGTTGAGGCAGAGCCAAAAGGAACAATCACACTAGAACTTCTCAAGTAAGAAATGTAGAATTTTATGGTTGCAGATAAAAATCTTTTTTTTTCTTGTTCATCACATCTTCTAATTTTAAATTCAATCCATCCTTCTGCTGCCCCCTTCCTTCCTCTGCAGACACAATGAGGTGTACACATGGACTAACCCTTACTGCTGTGTGCATAACATCATCCTGGGCAAACTGTGGATAGAGCAGTATGGCTTAGTGGAAATAGTCAATCACAGGTATAGAAACAAGTCTATTCTATTTTTTTATTATGTTTTTTTATGCCAAACTACAACTTCTCTATTTTATGTTGTAATTCCTACCAATGGGGACTTTGGTTCACATTTGTGAACCAAAGTTCACAAATGTGAACTGTAGTCCAGGATTTTTGAGACAGAAGATGGTTTTTACAGTCATAATGATCTGATCCCAGAGGTTTATGATGGTCTAAATATACCACAGAATTCATTCATCTCAATGTTCCACGAAAAAGTAGATTTAACATTTATTTATACATCTAATACACGATTCAAATAGTTGTTAAGTGAACAAATAAATGATGAAATGTTCCCTTTATCAAATAAATAATTAACTGTCCCATTAAACACTTTGAAACACAATTATATGAAATTACAGATTCAGTAATGAAATGTTCCCCAAAAAAGTTTAAAAATAATTTAAAATTAAATACTTAAAAGTTATTTGAAAATGTATTTAGAAATGAAATTAATAATTTTACTGAATATGTATGAATAAATACTGAGTGATGTAATTATATGTATTTTTAGGGGGTTGCCAGGCTGTCCCGTTGTTATTACAATGGTGAGAGGTTGAAATGCTTGTAAATTCTGCTTTAGTCAAAAAGTTACATGTTTTCAAATAGAGGTAAGGCCAGGAAAGGCAAGGCAAATTTATTTGTATAGCACAATTTAGTACAAAGACAATGCAATGTGCTTTTACATGATTAAAATACAGGAAGATAAAACAGAATCAAAGCAAGTAGGAAAAAATAAAAAATAAATAAAATAAAATAAAAAATGCAGAAACAAAAAAAGAATATTAAAAACAGTTTGATTAAAGAAAATATGTTTTAGTTAAACTGTTTAACTAGAACCGTCAAAGGCAATCCTAAACAAATGTGTTTTTAGTCTTGATTTAAAGGAACTCAGGCTTTCCGCACAGGTAAAGCAGTAAAATAGTAAAGTAGCTTTCTACTCTACTATGAAAGTCTGAAACGCTGATTTCATCTGAATTAAGCAGTTAACATTTAGTACCCAACCACCTAAAATATTCTAAAACCTGGAGAAATAAATTCAAATCTTGAAATGTAAGTCTAAATCTGATTTTCAAAATATGAAGGAAGCCTATTTAAGTGTGAATAAAGATGCGTTTCTGGGGGCCATATTCACCCCCCAATTTAAAACCATGAATATCAGGTTCAATTCAACCCAATGAGCAAAACTGAAGAACACCTTTTGTCTGTGTAGATATTTGAGGCTCAGCCTGCTTCCTCACTGTGTGCAAACGACTGCTTTAGTCTGTTTGTTGAAGGAAGCTCTACAATAATCTTTGTTGATATCTGGTCGTGTGTCGTGTTCACACAGTGGCACAGATTCATACCACAATCTAAGAGGTAAACTCACCCAGTTCTTATACAGTCTGGAGAAACCTGGAATTTGCATTCAGTGTTTTCCATGTTTGGAGAACTATGGAAGACTACAAAACGGTTAATAACGTTGATACTGAATTGTTATTTCTATGCTATGTGTTATTTTCCACCGGGCAGAAATTTGGTTTCCTTAAAAAAATGAATAATAATAAAGAAAATGTTTATAATGAGAAAAAGTAAGCCATAGATTTTAAGGGGAAAAATAAGTTTTTATCCTAAATAAATGTTCACTTTGCCTTCCCATTCTCAGCTGTTTATAGTCTTGTAGTTTCTGCAGGATCAGTTAGTAAAGGTCTGTTCTTCCTTCTCTTCTTTTATGTTCTGCAGCACCGGGGAGAAGTGTGTGCTGAATTTTAAGCCATGTGGCATGTTTGGCAAAGAGCTGCACAAAGTAGAGGGATACATCCAAGACAAGAGGTTGGAGAGGATTTATTACATGAAATCAACCTTCAGTATGAACATGTTTAAAAGTGGACTTATTTATCTGATCTTCTTATCTCTCTATGTTCCCCCTCTTTTTTCTCTCAACTTATTAAATTTCTTTTTCTCTATACTGCCTTTTCTTTATTTGAATATTTCTATCCTTTCTCCTCTTGTCCCCCTTGTTTTATTTTCTGTGCAGTAAAAAGAAGCTCCGCGTAATCTATGGGAAGTGGACCGAGTGCATGTGGAGCGTCGACCCTCAGAGATATGAGGCCTACAAAAAGTCAGACAAGAAAGGCGATAAGTCCAAAAAAAATGTGAGAATAACTGGATTTGTGAATCTGCTGTTTTCTAAACGAGCCGCTGTGTCATTTTCCTATATTATCATTGTTTACATAGTTTCTGTATGATAATGATTATGATTAAGTTAATCTGTTGTTGTCCTCAGCTCACTCTGTGGTCTTTATTCAGGTAAATGAAAAGGTGTACATAGACTTGTGCAGCTTTTTAGTTTGCTTGTGTTTAGTAAAGTGTAATAAGTTCAAAACCCGTACCCTGTAAAGATTCAGACCTGCTAGAGGCAGATTATGCAGAGTAATGATGGGAGCTGACTGTAGATCGCGGTCCCACAGGTCATTTGTAGAGAGATCCAGTTTGATCCTGAACATTTGAAACCATATTTCCTGTGCTGTAGAGCTCACAATGGGTTATTTGCAGGAGTTTGAAAAAGCGGAGAATGACGAAGCAGACGATATGCCTGAAGTCCAGGAAACGGTGACTGTTATACCAGGAAGCGATCTGTTGTGGAGGATAGAGTCCCGGCCAGCACACTCTGCTAAGGTATCTGAACATAAGCTGCACATAAGACCATGAATAAACACGTTTCCATACAGCAGCAGCCATTCAAAGCAGCCCTTCCCAGTGAAACGCCAGCGGAATGGCAGCCCACTTCCCTCCACCTTCCAGCTACTGGAGTGAACCCCTTTTGCATATTTTTTTACTCTGACTCCACCCTTTCAATGATTTACAAGGTCTGACGAGGAGATGATGCTTCTATTCAGATCTTAAAGTCTTCAAATCAATACAGAGTATTTTAGCACAAATATTGATGTTTAAAAAGTAATTGAAGGGTGACCAGACAAAGACCCATCAAATTTTGACTGGCTACTGCTGTGTAACATTTCTTCAGTCAGTCAGCATCTTAAGATCAAATATTAATCACTGTAGTTAAAACTTAGGTGTCAAACCAACATAGGATGATTGTGGCTAAATGGACTCATTTGTGCTCCTTCCTCAGATGTACAACTTCACAAACTTTGCAATGGCTCTCAATGAGCTGGAGCCTGGAATGGAAGCCATCTTGGCTCCCACCGACTGTCGCTTCAGGCCCGACATCAGAGCCATGGAGAACGGTCACATAGGTAATAGGATTTAACTTTATCTTGCTGTCCAGGTTTTTCGATTGTCTAAACATTTAAAAAGGATAATAGATTGATTTTAGTGCGCTCTCCTGGTTCCTAACCCTCCAGTTGTGATGTGTTTTTTGCAGACGAGGCGAGCAAAGAGAAGGAGAGACTGGAAGAAAAACAGAGGGCTGCCAGGAAGGATAGAGCTAAGAATGAGGAGGAGTGGAGCACTAGGTAGCAAACATCCAACTACTGCACACATACACTCCAAACAAACCATTTACCTTGAAAATTGGGTCAAATAAACATTTAGCATCATCTTCCACCTAAGAAAATACATCACTTTAATCAAGTGGGTTTTTTGTCACACTTAAGTGTCTTAAAGGATTAAATGAGTAAATATAAAAGCATTGTTTAAATTATTTAATTCATTAAGGGAAACAGCTTTACCAACTTGGCCGTTAGGGGAAAAAGTAATATTCATCCTTGTTTAACCAGAAATAAACCGTGATTCACTACATTCTTACTAAAGTTGAAAAGAACCAGGCAGTAATTACCCAACCTGCAGTTACCCAATTACCCTACCCAACCTTTTGATCATTTAAAATTACCCTCTTTGATAACTAAGTTCTAAAGGAGTGAATATTCAGTTTGAAAAAGTAAAACAATAGAAAACCAAAGTAAATGACATCTATCAGTCTGGAAATATTTACTGTGGAAGCCAGCGAACCAAAGTGGGAACCACCATCCACAACTGGAGAAAACATGCAGCAGTGATGAACCTTTCCCAGAACATCTGAAGCACTGCAGTTATCTCAGCTAAGGTCAAGGTTTAACCGTAAGGTTGAAGATCCGAGTCAAATGGCCTCAATGGGAGAGTCCCAAGGCCAAAACAACAGCTGAAGAAGAACTCCGATCTACTTGGAAAAAAACGCCCCATCTTAAAGAGACTTTGGGTTAAATGTTCTGATACTAATAGGAAAAAAAGAGAAAGCATTTCAGAAGCGGAGCATTTCTCCGAGTGTTAGGGGCAACTTTGCTCTAACCGAAATGTTTAGCTGTCACTACAGAACATTAAGCCCACTCAAGCTGTAGCTCAGCTGCGGGTCTAATATCTGGTCCTGAAGTTGTCGTGGAAATCCCTCCAAGGTGGCTGAATTACATCATTTCTGCAAAGAGGATCAGGTCAAGAATTCCTCACACTGCAAAAACAATTTAGAAATAAGTCAAAATTTCTTAAATGTATTTACCCTTAATTTGAGGAGGTACATAAGATGATTTGTCAATGGAATGAGTATATTTACAATTAAAATAAGATCATTAGATAATATTTACTTGAAATAAGACAATGCAATTGTTTTTTTCTTATTCTAAATGCAAATTGTCTTCTTCCATTGGCAAAGTGTCTCATTTACTACCTAGATTCAAGAACAAATGTCTTTATTTTAAGAAAAAAATACTTTAATTATGATTTTTTCCACTGCAGATCTTTTATGGAAGACATTTGCCAGCGATCACAAACCTTTGATGCCATTTGTTGCTGTTAATGTTGAGAAAAGAAGTGATTAGGTTTGGGGGAGTTACTTTTTCAGAAGGGCCAAATGGGTTTCTATTCCCCCCCCCCCCCACTTTAACTGTTTACTGTTAACCACTAGAGGGAGCTATAGAACTTTAGTCTGACAGCTCCTAAGCTGTTATCAAATTAGTTTGAAACAAATTGGTAATTTAATCTGAATAAAGCTCTAAAATAATTTAATAATTAATGTTAACGTTAATTGTAAGACTTGTATATAATAATTCCCTTGTTTTTGTTTTTAGGCAGTCACCAACTTCTAACCGAGAATGTGTTGTCATCTAGTGTCTTACATTTTTGCTTTAAATTTAAAAGTAAATGATTTAATAGCTGTATGTGTATTTTTTAAGATAATAATAATTTTTATTTAGTGAGTAGAAAGTCATACCAGGGCAGATCTAACAAAAACTGTTAGCCTGTTTTAATTGAGGCAGTTTTAAATCAACTTTTTCACATTTAAACTTTATAGCAGCATTTATGTTAGTCATTTCACTCTTAAAATTAGTTTTTTTTAGTATTTTATTTATTTTCCAGTGTATCTGAATAAAACATTTGAACATTACTACAAGTTAAGCTTTAATCAGGTTGTGTAAAGCTTGATCTCCTTCCTCACGTCTCTCCTAGTGCCAACTAGGACCTGAAAAAGGATGAAAGGGAGGCATGGAGAAAAAAAGTATAGCAGATTAGACCAAAACTTAACTCCAGTTTAAGTCTGGGCTTCTCTAACATGACTGAAATACATGTACTGTAAGGCGTCTTAACTTCCCCTCCTCTTTGATTCTTGTTAGTATATTTATTTCTTAACTCTTATTTAAATACAAAAAACAAAAACAGACATTTAGTTTGTTTTATCTCCCATGCAACTAAAAACTAAGAAAACAAGTAGTGACCATAAATGACAGATGCAGGTCTCCCTCTGGATGAATAGTTTTGTCTAAATTACAAAATTGCAAATAACTCTTCTTTTTAATGGTTGGAATATTATAAAAGTAAAGGACTGAAGTTAATAAAAAAAAAAAAACTGTAGAATAAATCTTTGAGGGGAAATAAAGAATCCTAACGACTGCCTTGTTTTTTTTTTAGGTGGTTCCAGATGGGCACCAACCCATACACCGGATCCCAGGATTGGATCTACAGCGGCGGCTACTTTAACAGGAACTACCAGAACATGCCGGATATATATTGATACCCTATGAGCCATCTTCTTCCTCCTTCTCCTCCTCTTCTTCCTTGTGTTTAATTTGCAGTTTTGTTTGTCGGGAGCTCATATGACACAGAGAATTGATGGAAACGCATACAGCCACCATCTCCATCTCCCTACCGTTTTTCCTCACAGGTTTATGTGTTTGGGAGGGTTTCCACAGAAACTGTCATAGGAGAGACTTCCATCAAAACTGTCTTACTTTCAACAACTTGAAGGGAATTAAACATGTGAAAAAGGTCTCCTCTCTGCCCCGACACTATTCAGAGCACAAAAATCCCTCATTTCCAGAGAGCTGGAAGCCCACCGATCCACAGAGTCACACATACAGTCTGAATCTTTTACATCTTTCCAATCAAACTCTTTTCTTTTCAGCTGCCATACCTTTGGCACAGATGCTTAGGACTTCTGAATGCATGTGTGCATATATAAGTGGAAACATTAACTTGGACGTCGCAAACCTCATGATGGATTTGTGGATTCAAATGGACACCCAGTCAACAAGGAAAATCAGGGATGTGAATGTTCCTTTGGCTGAAGACGGATCATCTTCACCCTTTTGGAAACTCTAAAAGACTTGAAACACAAATCAATGTAGAGAACGTTATGCTCTTTACAGAACAAATATATACATCTACTGTTGGTTGGATCAGCTACAGCGAGTAATGTCTCCATCTCATAACCCTGAAACCCTTTGTTTTTGCTTTTACTCATCCAATGACACTGAAGCCGCTTCAAACTGATTCAAAGCTAACTCTATGAAAATGAAGTTTCCTTCTTCCTCTAAGCTGTGGTCTCATTTTGTCTTTGAGTTTTATATTTTACTAACCAGGAAACTTATATACAGGCTTCTTTTTGCAGGTCTTAGGGGAAATAAAAAAACGTATGCTCGGTTTCTACATGGTAAACAGAAACATGAGTAATCTGGTTTAAAAGGCAATCCCTGAGATATATCTTATAATATATTATATAAACAACTCTACTGGGCTGTTATTGGCCTTGAAATAACTAAAGATACTTGTGTTTACTTTTATACCTACAGATTATTATTGGTGGTTTCTGCATAACATACTCGGTTCTAAAAAAAAAAATGATCTGGAGTTATCTATGCTTCAAAATTCAATCCTGGATGACTAAACCGAACCTTTTTTATACATAATTCAAACTACTTTGGGCTGATGACTGGAGAAAAATTCTGAAACTTTAATCCATTCATTAGTTATAAATGTCGTGTAAATATTTCAAACACTTTTTAATTGTTTAAATTCATCCCAGGAGAGTTGGCTTCATGTGATTTTTAGTGCAAAGTAGTGATCTAATTGGAGACGCTTGCTGCCATCTGGGATGATTAGACTAACTGGCTTTTGGTCGATGAATCTCACCTGCAGAAACATCATAATAACCGCTGGTACAACAGAAAGTAAAAAAAATAACTGAATGTAGTTCTCCGTCTTCTTCCTGCTACAAATGTACATGTCCGTCTGTGCCTTCAGGTCCGTTATCCAAAAATGCATCAGCAGAACCAACATCCGCCAAATTAAAGCTCCAGAACTTTTTGGGTTTAAGTGGTCAGACATGAGCGGCGGGTTAAAAAAGGCTGTATACAGAAAGAGGTTAACTTTGTCCTGCTTTGTGTGCTGGTATCACCTCTGTTCTTTAAAGCCACACATTCCCACAGGATGACACTCAGCTTGGTAAACCTTTAGTAGAAAAGATAATATCACTCATACTGGTGTTTATATTTTCTCAAATCTGCTTAATGGGTTTTTAAACATTCCTCTGCATGTGCATTCAAACAAAAATAAAATAAAGCTGTCAGATGGCCGCTTTTAGAAGCCATCTTGTTTGTCTGTGTAAAGAGTTAAGAGGGTAAAGCCTCGCCCACTGAGACACTTGCTGTTGGGCTCTTATTTTGGGAAAAGAAATGACACTAAAGAGCTTAGCTGAAATGCTAAGGTGAATTTTACATGTTCTACATCTGATAGATGATTTGTGTTTTTGTTTTGGTTGCATATTTTCTTCCATCTTGTTTGTTTGAAATCACGTTTCATCACCAACTATGCAACGTTTGCACATCAGCATGAACACCCCGGCTCTGATCTGTTTTTGTACAGTTGCTCTGTTTTTTCTCCTGTAACACACACCTAGAGCTTTATTAGATCTGCTCACTCATCTATAGATGTCACACCTTCCTCTGAAGTATTTCCATACATGTCAAATCTCAGCATCACTTTTCACACTCATCTAGTTTTAAATATGAAAAATATGATTATTACTTGGATCTGTTATGTGTTTTTTTTAATTCATGTTTATTATTTATGGAGTTTTGGTTTTAGATGATTGTTGCTTAAAAAAAATGTCAGAAGTGTGGTATGAGGATGTCCAATAAACATTCAGATGTGGCTGTTGTATCTGTTTGATTGACCAGCTAAGCTATGAATGATTTACGTTTTCCAACAGTTTTGGCACAAATTGCATTTCTGTTTAAATAAATAAAACGAGCAAAAACACACAAAAAAAGGGTAGCACTGTAACTGAAGGGTGTCTAGTTAACATACGTGACCTTAAAATATAAAGTTCCAGCAGTTACTCCGTTAATCTCTGTCATTTAATCTGTTCCAGGCCTTAATGTCGCTTTTACTGCTCAGTTTTTCTCTCATGTTTGTGTACATGTGCTGCAGAGACGTAATCATACGCAAAATGGCATATAATTTTGTGCAACTGATTTATTTTTATAGTATTTAAACTTTTTTTGTTGTTATTGAGAAAATTGTACCAGATGTTTTATTTTGAGGTGGGGGTGGGTGGATTGGGAGGGGTCTTATCCATGTTGTGGACAGCTCTGCTGGTAAATGAATGGAGGGGGGGTGGGAGGGAGGATGTCTACTAATAAAATTCTAATTTCACTTTCTGTCTGTTGCTCATACTTTATTTGGATGACATCAACTGTGACTGCTGCCATCACTGTGCTTCAGTTATGAGGAAATGCCATTCTTATAATATACCAGAAATGTTCATCTAATACATTAGTAACCAACGACAACACCTTTGAATTAGCGCCCATGGTTATTTCGAAGAGGGTTTACTGCAGAAACCCCTTTGTAGTACTCTTCATTCTCTTTACTAAATAATCAAATCCCCTTTAAAGCGCTAAATTTGATATTGGTCTGCCTTTGAAATGACACAAAAGCATCAAATAGGATAACTCAAGCACTACATGCAGCCAATGATTTTGATCACAAGATGTTTTATTCTCTTGGAAATATTTAAAGAAAACATCAATTTTATAATACTTTGCATACATTCCCTCTGATTTGGATTTCTAATTTTTTTAGGGCAGTTTTGACCTAGATGGAACAGGGCCCTGTTGCTCTGAAAAGGTTGCAAGTACATGGTTTGATCCCCACACTCTGCAATCTGGGTCCCTGAACAAGACCCTTAACCCCACACAATGGCAGCCCTCTGCTCCCTAAGGAGATGGGTTAAATGCAGAGAGTTAATTTCTCCTGTGTGAGATCAATAAAGTTCTATTATTATTATTACATACTCCTTGTCTTCCTCTTATCTTGGACCTGTTGATGCAGCAGTCTCAGCAGAAACGCCCACCCTCCTCCAAAACTGACACTTTCTGCCGGTGGAGATCCTTGTGCTTGTAGGAGCTGATCTTAATCCCAGCTGACCTGCAGCAGGATGGGAACCGCCCAGCACATGCTATGTGTCTTTGCAGGAGGAAGCCAGCAGAAACACATCTGCAAAAAGCAGATGTGAAAGCCGCCAGTCCTCATTCTGGAATCTTATCCGTCACTTGGCTGTGCCTCGAAATTCTGTCCATAAAAGTGATGAACAGAACCGGTGAAGAAGATTACCCTGCCGAAGTCCAACATGCATTGGAAATGGGTTCAATTTAATCCCCTGCTGCGCTTCTACAGAGACTGGATGCCACCTGGTAAAGGGTCAACAGTTCCATTCTACTGATCCACATGCTGCTGCTCTGCTATGTGATGGCTAAGAGGCGTGCCAACCACAGCAGCCAGACACCCTCCAGAGACCAGAGGTACCCAGGTCAGATCAACGCAAAGTATTGCATATTGTCAATACATTATAGATATTTTGTGATTCATATCTATCAGCTTCACAAACCTACAGATCAAAGTTTATGATCCATTTGCTGTCTTTTTTTCCTTGTCCTCATGGTGCTAAATTTCTAAGGTGATTTTGTTGGATTATTATAGAGATACCGGGGGTTGATTGGCTTAGATTCTAAAGTAATATCAGAATCATTATATGCTTTTTCATTTTGCTGAAGGCTGCTACCATACAGAGATCTCTTACCTGCCTTTTTGGAGTTTGCTCTTACACAAATTGTTATAATGATGATAAAATAATATAATTAAACTTTATTAATGTCACACTAGAGAAATTAACTCTGCATTTAACCCATTCCCTTGAGAAGCAGTGGGCTGCCACTGTGTGATGCCCAGGGAGCAGTGTGGGGTAAAGGGTCTTGCTCAGGGACCCAGAGTGGAGGCTGTGGGGATCAAACCGGGTACTTGCAACATTCTCAGAGCATAAGCGCACTGCTCTAACCGGTAGGCCAACACTCCCCTATTCAGGCAGCCAGTATTACATCACGATACTAAATGTGAAAGCATGCTTTTGAAGCTGCAGGATTTCAGATTTGACTCCATTTGTAGAGAAGTGTTGATAGTCGGGCACATCCAGGGGAAGCGGTTGAGTGGGAGCTCAACATAACAGCCTCTGAAGTCAGTATAAAAAGCGTCCGGCTGCTGTCCTTAGAAATCTGACGGAAAGGTGCTCTGAAAGGAATCAAGTGGGGTCATTTCTTCAGGCCATCTTTTATTTTTCATGCCATTGGAAAAGGCCCCATGCTTCCTGTTGAGCTGTTCTATTGCTTCTGGTACAGATCAAATGAGACAAACCCCTAAAGCCAAACCACACTTGTTATTTTCATCAGTTGTCAGTTAAGTTTCATCAGTTTGGCTTATGACCCAAACTACAAGATGTACAATAAGTTGTACGTTGATGAGTATATTAATATTTACCTACAGAGCAAATGTGACACTTTTTCAACTGTAAGAATTTACAGCCACCATTTAGATATATATAATGATTTATTACCTATTGAATAAGTTAAAAATGGGTTTAGCATACTTTATTTAGGATGTCTACAAAACTCTCTCTAGATTTGAACTGCCTGTTAAATCAACCTTTTCTAAGATAAAAGTTGGTGGAGGAGGCTAAAATATAATTTTGCATTTGCTCTACAGCTTTAAACCCTAAAAAACGTCTGGCGGCCATCGAAAAAATACCCTGTATGTGCAATCTGGGGGTGTGACTGCTCTTCCCCAGCTGGCAGCACCTTTTCAGCCAGGAGTTCATTGTTCCAAGTACGCAAAGGACAATGTTGTGGTACTGAATTTTGTGGTGCGGCATCATGAAGTTTTTGTTGCAGCGGATAGATGAGATCATTTTGTGTTTCAGCAAACATTGCATCAGGAACTTTCCAATAACATACTTAGAGCGCTGCAAAATCTTGTGAACAAGATCAAGCATGAATCAGTGGATGCATGATCCCAAAATCAGATAACCATAATCTGACTTGGACAGTTTTGGACATGTGTACTCCAATAGGGTTTGCATTGAATTCTTGATGCAACCAAGAGCAACTCTCTATTTGCTCCTCTGTTAATTTAGTTAATTTAATGTCAGGATGCCGTCTCAGCCTTTAATGCATCTACTTACATTGTGAAAATAGACCATTGTGCTTGTGATGATGACTTGGACCAAGCTGACAGTAGAAAACAATGAACCAGACCAGTTCATTTATATTCACTTACTGCAGAAGGCTGTGAATTAATCTCTGAAGTTCTTCTTATTGGATTAAACGTTTATTTTTCTGCTCATCTTTTACCAAAAACCATGCAAATAAAAACACACCAAGCTCTGGTTTTATGTATTTTTTTTTATTTTTTTTTTCCTGATTGAAATGTAAGGTCATAATTTGTCATTCATCACATTACATGGCATGATGCACCAGGTCTACTACACCCATTTACAGGAGGAATACACAGAAACATACACAAGGTTTTACAATAGGGAAACAGGAAGTTTAGCTCATTGCACTTACAACAGTGAATGGAACACTTTGTTGTCGTTTTTTAGGCTCTTTTTGTTTTTACTCTTTACTTCAATCAGCTGGGTTATTTTAAGCTTCTCCCCCCCAAGATGTTCGCTGTTTTATTCACCTTGTCCCTCTGTTTTCATTATGCAATGATCCACCCTCAACTTGGAAGTCAGAATATTTTTTTTATATATTTTTTTGTTTTAGATGTCATCTCGTTTAACAAACACAACATGTATAGAAACTCTACACAGACCATTATTTTTTTTTCCATATCCGAATACAATGATTTATTTATTTTTTTATTGAATATGACGTTTTTAACCATCCGTACAAGCCAGTCACATACAAACACAATGCGGTTTGTCAGCTTATTTGTTTGTAGTTTTTCGTTTTAGTCGTTTTTCATACACAAAAAAAAGCACAGATTTTGGCAGGGAGTTCTGGGCTTGCATACGCTGCAGCTGGGGTGGCTGTTTGCAGTACAAAGGCCTCTCTCGCACGCCTCTTGTGCATGTGTCTGTGTGTGGTGACTTGTTTGAGATTTACATGTCGTACAGGACGTGTCCCTCATGGCATTTACATGTTTGTTTGGAGTGGACTCGGGTTCATATCTGGTATTTACACTGGAATAAAGAAGGTTGGAGGGAGGTCAAAGGTCGGAGAGGTGGCTGGGCTTAAGGAGAGAATATGGGAGGTGTCCAAATCATGCACTTGTCACTTTACAGGTAAGAGATGAACAGTGAGAATGGACCATTTTCTCATGGCTTCTTCTTTACTTAGAACCTCTCGCCTATATGAAACATCCACTTTATATATATATTTATTTATTTATATATGCATTTCTTATTTTCACATCCTGTCATACTTCGAACAACAGTAAGAGCAGCAACACATAACAGCCTAAGATGCTGCTTGTCTGATTTATAAAAAGCTACAGTCTGGATTTCCCAAAAGGATTTCAAGATGCATTTTAATGCACTTGATCCAAAAAACAACAAAATAAGTTGCAAGCTGAAACCTAATGTTTTGGTTTTCTATTGCAAAATAATAATAAGAGGAACTTAATTTCATTTGAAGGCAGAAAAATAAGAGTTAGATTTATGTGTGTTTTCCTTTCTGACTTTTACTAAAACATTGCTAAAAACAACAACAGGCAGTGATGCCTTTACTGTGTCTGATAAGTCCAGTGCTCCTCAACAAAGAAAGACACCATGCAGAGTGTGGACAGAGATTTCATGACCGGCTGCAGTAACAGGATGGCTTTCTTCGGTGACCATTATTGTAGTAGAGAAGCCCTTACTGCTATGCATATTAAAGTCACCTTCAATGGCTGTATTCATGCAGAAGCAACACCACTAACAAACAAACAAAAAATTAAATAAATCAAACTCTGATAAGAGCTATAACCTTATTTTCTGCACAGTTCTTCTCAGTAACTGTGTGCTTGTAGCTGTTTCCTTCTCACTGATATCCTGCATCTGCATGAACACAACCGCCGTCTCCTAAAATCATCTCATCGTCTTCCATTGCAAGGCTGCATTTAGCATGTGTGCTTTCCTGAGGCAGAAGTGATTAAGGATCATTTCATTTTCTGGTCAATTTCGTTCTTTTTTTTTTGTTATTTATTTTTTTTTTTTTTTACAAACTTCGAAAAACATATGACACAAAATAGAGGAAGTTGGTGTTAAATTAGATAATTCTAAGCTTAATCAAGTTTGTTCTACTTTGGAACCTAACTTTTAGCTTTTTTTATTTTTTGTCTTTTAAAACACTGATCTAGAGGCAGCGGATATGTGAAATAAACTGTTTGGATCCTGTGCGTTCAAACCACTGTTCTAATTTTCAAATTTGCATCTTAATTTAACTCCTTGCAAGTCAATGAAAGGCATCAGTTTAGTTTTAGGAACAATTTCTAAATACTTTGTCAGCTATATAATTTAAAAAATAAAATAAACTCTTTTCAGGGTAAACTTTCTATTTATGGTTTTCAACAATCTGATTATATTAGTTGTGCGAGAACCTTTGCAATAGAATCCATCTTTATAAAGATATTCTTTATCATATATCTAGAGTCAATAAATCTTTTCAACCTTTAATCCGACTATCATAATATCTCCTCTCAGTATGATGAAATAAATTCTCACATAGATAAATTATACTTGAAATATTGCTAAAAAAATATATGGACTATTTTTACATGGATAGATGATTTATGAAGCTCAAACAAGCGCTATAAAGAACTTTGTAGGGATAATTTTATATTAGGGATGCATCAATCAGAGGTTTCTGTCCTCAAATACAGATATTAGTCATTTAAGGATGTCAATATCAAACCTTTTATTTATTAAAATCCATGGGAGGAATATGAAGACACATATCATAAGCATTACACTGACTAATGTTGATGTTATGATGATGTCTCACTAAACTTACACCCCAAAGACATTTTGAATGCCTCAGATCTGTCTCTATATGCTGTTCCACCATGGAATGACTAGTTTAAGAAAGCTTCTATAATCCCCCAATAATAAGCTTTTAACATAAGTTTATTAACTGTTTATAAATAAATATGAGACTGAACAGATAGAGCTACTATTTTCATTAAAATCATGTCTTTTTCCTGCTGATGAGTGTTTTTTATGGACCAGGCTGGAGAAAGCTATCATATTTCTCCCCCCGCACATAACAATATACTCTAAATGGTCTCCCTTCCATTGTGAATGTTATAATAAAAGTAAGCTGATCAATAATTAGTAGGATTCACCAGCTATGTGCAAAAAAAAAAAGGTCTTTTGTTAATGTGCAAATAATGTATGCAAATGCTTGATGGAAAAACTGCAAATGCTAGAAACATCAGGTGTTGGGGATTTAGTTATTGACTTCATTGATCATTAAAAAGTGCCTTGATTATAACTGAGCTTTTGTATTTTGACATCCCTTCAAATGATATAAAAAAAAGTGTTTTTTTTTTAATTGTTGATTTTCTTATATCCACATTCCCTTAGAGCGCTGCTACCAAAAAACTAACACATATATGTAAACTGGCAAATGCCTTTAGCTTAGTACATTTACTTTAGAGTGTACATTCCACTAAGACACCCACCTACTAACTCTTAATGCACAAATATGATGACTTTAGGACGTTTCTGAATAGTGCTTCAGTAGCAGCTTACAGCAGATCATATAAGTCTTTTCTATAGCTTTTTTTATATAGTTTATTTGCAATTTGATTGCTTCTAAATTTGTCTTTTCTTTCAGGTCATTTTTTATTGATTTAAAGTGTCTCTTTAGAAACATTTTCTACACAAAGAGATTGTTAGAACAGCTTCTGTTTCTGGCTCTTTAAGAATTCGTTTTTAACCCCTGAGCAGTCCATCACCTGCGGCGCAGTACTTTAAATATATAAATCTGTAAAAGCTTTTCTATTACCCTACTTCAGTTCTAATAAACTGATCATGGTGGCCAGTATTGGTCAAGATGTGTTCATGACAACTTGGATATTTCAATCTTGCTGCTTACAGCAGTGTTGATCACTAGGCAGCATTTTCCATTTGATAAAAAGACGCTTCTTGCACCTATTTTAGTTTAATGTTCTTAGTCTAGGAATGGAATTTCCCAGCTGCCTTGAACATATCTTTGGCTTCCAATTCCATTAGAGGAGGGTGTTTTTTTTTCACACAAATTTCCAGAAATTAAACAAAGCAGACATGATCTCTAACCGAGGAGTGATTAACAATGACTGTGACTTTTTCCCATATTATTGTTCACATGCCTTTTCCTCCTCAGATTTTTCTATTATCAAATAGGATTCATTGCATAGAACGACTCGCCTCCTCTACCTGCGACGCTCGTCGTGTTTGAACTTGTGTCTGTTTTGTTTTCTTCTCCATATTAGATGATGATTGTTAAGTACTCGCATACTGAACCCCAAACACACTCATACATACGTACAAACATCAGGAACAGAACAATATAGAGGTGACCTTGAGGTTTTTCTCGGCGCCGGGCAGCATGCGAAAGTTCCCAGCGAGCGTTCACAAAGACAATATACAGCAGAAGTTGGTGGTTTTTGAAGAGAGAGGAGTAGGCCTGGCCCTGTCGGGCCCTGGCGTTATGTTTCATGAGGGGGTGGAACCTTAGATTTCCCACAATGCACTGCAGGAGCAACAGCAGGGCGAATACTGACCTGAGAATATTTCCAAGACGACTGACAGTCTGAGAGAAAAGACTTGGTTCTGTTGTTGTTTTGGATGGGGGTGTTGGGTTAGACGTCTGAACTCCACCACCATAGAAAATAGGCCATTTAAAAAAAAAGGCGAGTGACTTTGTGTTATTTTTGGTTCCTCAGTCACATGACAGCAGAATATTATAGTTAGATCACTGACACCATTCCCAGTGTGCTTTCAGGTTCACATTTGACAAAGTGAAGACACATGCGGAGACAACCGTATAAGGAGTCCATCTTGGAGAATCAGAAGAGCCCCAACACCAAAATAAAAACTAAACTCTCTCCTGATTCCCCCACTGTAGGGAGATAGAGAGTCCAATTGGGCTTCCTCTCTGCTGCCCTGCAGTGCTCTCAGGTCAGACTCCCGCTGAAGAAAGCAGCATGTCTGTCCAGTCTGCTACGTTCATACAGCAGCAGTACCACACGCTGCGTTTGAGTCACACTAAAGCAGAGCATCGGCGGTAAATCAGACAAACGAAGGCAACACATTTTTGCAAAATGACACAAAATTGTGCTATTTACTTTCTTTCCTCTTGCTCTATTGCTTTCATGATTATTGATAGGAGCGAAGAGTCTGAAAAATTGTCAGGGGAGGGGCTAGTTCCATGTAACAAAACAATACAAAATGAAATAAATCATATCACAACAAAATATATAAAAAAGAAAACACGATGTTAAGGTAAAAAAATAGAAATCAACCTCTCTGTGGCTGCTGTTCCAGCTGATCTAACTAGATAAAAATACACCGTTTTAGATTCAAAGTAAAACGCTTTAAAATAATTAAGGCGATATTGGTAACCTGCAACATAAAAACCAGGCAATCGACATAGGAAAATAAAATAAACTATGAAAAAGAACAAAAGTGTATTAACTAAAAGCCAGAAATGTGGATAATGTTGGAGATTTATCACTTAAACACAGAGTAAGCGTCATCTTAATGGCTTTAAATTGGCTAAAAAGTAACCCTAACGCCTTATTTCGTTATCCACTCTTATTGATTTTTAAAAAAACCCAAAAACACTTGGAGAAAAAAAAAGTGCAGATAATAAACATAAAGCTCATCTTATTCCCATGGCCAAATCCTTCTGTGTTGCTTTAGTAACTTTCTTTGCTTTAACCTATGCCTTCTAGCTCAGATGTCTTTATGGCCTCAGTTGCGTAATGATGAAACAGTGTAAGGTCTTGGATATAAAGTTCCATGCATTCCCATATTTCTTTTTTTTTTTTTTTCTTTAAATCCACAATAATCTTGTTTGAAGACATGGCAAGTTGTGGATCATTGCAGTTGGGTGTGGTAAGAAAGAAGAATCGGCATTCAAGAAAACGCAATTGAGGTGAGGAAGAAGAGCAAAGTTGTAGACAAAATGGTGGAAAAAAAGAAACACGTGGCGGCATACTCGGTCCGCGTCATTATCATCTGTTTCATTCAAGGTGACGTTATGATGAATTCCTCGTCAGTTTTCTGCGGTCAGAGACGTCTTTAGTACAAGAAAAACCTGCGGTCCCCTTAATGAGTTTTTATTTATTACAATTTTTCTGCTGATTGTTTACTTTGAAAAGAGATAGAAAAGAGGAGAGAGGTGATTTGTTGGTTTTTCATCTGGAGTGAGCGCTGGACTTTAAAACCTACAAGCCTCTGCAGCTGTGGTCAAACTACCACCTCCTACAGGATGCTGGAATGAAAGCAGCCCTCATGGAAAGATGAAGCAGTCTTCAGATGTCTCCATGCCTGGTTCATCTGCTTGGTATTTCTTTACGTGCATAGAGCTTCCACAGCTGGCGTGGACCAATCATCTCTTTCTCCATTCAACCCCCAGGCATTTAGTTTTCATGTAGAGGTTGAGATGTTTGTTGCTGCTGCAGATCTTCTCCAAGAAGCTGTGTGATAATGTGGATCCTTCTCAAGCTGGATGTTGGCTTGGAATGATCTAAAAGGGAAAAAAGGTCATTTATTATAGAAACTGTAAAAACAATGTAACTGATGAAAACATTTTGATGATTAAAACATTTCTGTAGGTCTTATGCTGGTGAGGATTCTCATTCATCCAGGTCATAGTCTTTCCAAAAAAAGTAAAAAAAAACAATTCCCTGGACTTTGTTTCCAAGTTTGCAGACATTTCCCATCCAGGAAGCTTTTTCAATTCAAACTGTCAGGAATAGCATTGAGTTTGAGGTTTTATGCAGTAGCCCATCAAACCCTTGTTTCAGTTTGTGTTTTTGTTTTGTTTGTTTTTGTAAACAAAAACAAGGATTTGAAGGGCTCTTGTATAAAATCTTGAACTCAACGCTGTAGGTTTTCTATAAATTCTCATCAATCCCTTTATAATATTTACAGATTATCTTAACACAAACCAGATAACAAACAGAGTGATTATAAATTGGGTCTCAATTAGAGATGCACTCGGTTTCTTTCTAGAATCAGATAAGGACATCCTAATGGGTTCAGATGGGGATTTGTAAGTTAAGCTTTGAAAATTGATTCTTTATTCATTCTGGAAATGACACTATAAAAGTGTTATCAAATACCGTAATTAAACTTTTTTCCTGCTTGAAAATGATTACTGAATGAAAATGTAGGTAACAGGCAGGATATAGATGTTTTAAGCATAATCAAAGTGTTTAAATTAAACTGTGTGGTTTATTCAGGCTGCCTGAAAGCAAGAGAGAGAGCAACACTTTAAGCAGATAACAGGCAGGCTTAATGTAAGCTTAGCGCTTAATAGTAGCTAGGTATTGGGTTTGACCTATTTTAAACTTCTGTCATAATGTTATATATATAGGATCTAGATTTTTAGTCTAAATAAATTGGTATGTTTGTGATGCTAGTCTCTTCCAGGCTTCTCTCCCTTTAGCAAATTCCTTAACTAGCTTTGTACCTAAATTACATCCTAGAATTGGTTGAATGTTGGAGTAGCTCTGCTAGTTTGACTGATATTCTTTTTTATGAGAACTTAAGTTTCTTGTAATTAACTCGCTAATTAACATATCTAAAGCTGAAGTAATACAGCAACTACTTCTGCAAGTACTGTACTAGCTGATATGAAAAGGAGGGGCTGGGAATGCAGAGCAGGAACAAAGAGCTGAGAGAGGAGCAAGAAATTTAAGCCATTTCTTCCATCAATTATCAAGGGCAATGTGAGATTTTACCATACGAGCAGACAGAGTTTTAAGAGGAACTGAAATATGAATTGGTCTTCAATCAGATCCTGTGCAAGACAGACCTCAACAAAAGATCCTTCGTACAGCTATGAACACCTTGAAGACTAGGTATCTTAAAGCTTTCTGTAAATAAAACACATTTCCATACAGCAGACCTCTAAATTTAGAAAGTACTCTAAACTGATGTTGTAAAAGCATGTATGACACGCCCCTCTGGCAGGAATAAACATGATCACACTGTAAAAGCACCCAAAGAACGCAGACCTCCACCAAGCAGCTAAGCAGCAAGTGTTGCCTCATGTTGTGACCTACACTAAAACCTGCACACCTGGATTAGGACTTTTTGAGTCCAATGCTGAAGCTGTAAATAGTCACTGCTGCTACCCACTAGTTTAGGGGGGGACTGGTGGTTTCCACCTTAAATCACTATCTCACAATGTGAAAGAGTCCTTTGAAAAATTCCTGGATTATAATCTTAATCATTACCTAAATGTAATTGCTTCTTGGCATGATGCGCACCTCTACAGGTTATCCTGTACAGTGACAGACAGACAGACAGACACAAACTTCCCTAAGAACATAAGCTCCTCGGCGGCGGTAATGAAACAACCAGCATGACAAAAGGTTTGTAATGTTGGATGCCTGAAGTGACCAGCACCTAATTGGTAGCAGTAGGAATCCATTATAAGGATTCCTACTGCTAAACACAGACGGAAACTTTAGATTTAATATTTAAACAAGGTAAAATCCAGCTACTGCTTTGACTTAAACCTATGACATGATGTCGCCTCTACTTCCATGAGAGGAGGAGAAAAAGTTTTCATTTATTTCTCAAAAAGCAACTAAAATCATCTTATACAGGGAAAAACTGATCAAACTTAACGAAAAGAAAAAAACTGGAAAAGCAGTCAGTTCTCATTTTCCTCAAACACTCCGACGTTCAAATATTTTCATCCAGTTTTTTTTTTTTTTTTTATAACTTTATTTATCAATTTTCACAGAATATTCTTTACAGCATTCATGTTTTATACAACGCTGTCTTTCTTAACATACATAACCCTTACACAAAAAACACCCCAAAAAAAAAAAAATAAATAAATAAATTTAAAATAAATAAATAAATAAAATAAAAAAAAGTCAAAGCTTAAAAAACACATACACAATACATAAATAAATAATAATGACAAACGAAAATACAAAAATCCGTTCATAGCTGACTAAAAGAGTGTAGCAGTAGATTAGTTATGATAAGATACTCATTTTAAATGTTTCCATATAGTGCAAAAATGGCTGCCATGTTTTGATAAATTTAGCAGTTGAACCTGCCAGTGTACACCTCATCTTTTCTAAATGTAAGAACCTCATGAGCTCCGAGAGCCACTGTTCATGTGTGGGTGGGGCCTTCTGTTTCCACCTCAACAGTATCAGACGTCTCGCAATCAACGTAGCAAAAGCTATTGTATTTGAATTACATTTGGAGAGTAAACTATGCGGGGGTATGATTCCAAAAACTGCAGTTAGAGCAGAAGGTTCAAATGTAACATTGTATATTTCTGAGAATGTATTGAATATAGATGACCAATAGGTGTGAAGTTTTGAACATGCCCAGAAAGTGTGAATAAGGGAGCCGACCTCTGACCTGCATCGATTACATAAGGGATCAATCCCTGGATAAAACTTAGCTAGCTTTTCATTAGAAATATGCAACCGGTGCAAGACTTTGAACTGAAGGAGTCCATGTCTAGCGCATATTGAAGAAGAGTGAACCCTGTGAAGAATGGATTGCCAGAGCTCATCTGTTAATGTAATTGCAAGATCTTTCTCCCAATGCGACTTAATAATCGAGAGAGAAGGAGATTGTAAATCTAGCAGTATGGTATAAATCTTTTTAATCGCCCCTCTTTGATGGATGTTTATACCAGTGATTTTATCCAGAGCTGTTTCTTCAGGCAGTTCAGGAAATGTGGGATATCTATTTTTCACAAAATGCCGCAGTTGTAAATAGCGGAAAAAGTGTGTATGCGGAATATTGAACTGTTCCATAAGTTGAGTGAACGAAGCAAAAATCCCATCAATGAAAAGGTGTTTAACTTCACTGAGTCCATTTCTTTTCCAAATTTTAAAGGCAGAATCAGACATAGAAGGTGGGAACATATGATTTGAACAGATAGGAGTATTAATTGACATAAAATGTTGTCCTAATTTTTTCCTACACTGCACCCAGAGTCTCAGGGAATTATATAGTACAGGGTTGCATTTATAGGTACAAACCTCTAACGGGAGGGCAGAGGTCAACAAAGCAGGTAGACTAGTCTGACCACAATTAGACGACTCAATCTGAAGCCAAGACGGGGTTTCTGTAGAAAAGTCACTTATCCAATATAGCATGTTTCGTATATTTGCTGCCCAGTAATAAGACTGAAAATTTGGCAAAGCTAATCCGCCCATAGGTCTAGGTCTCTGCATAAAATCTTTACGAATTCTGGGTGATTTGCCTCTCCAAATAAAAGCTGCAACGTGTTTATCTAGAGTCACAAAGAATTCTTTTGGGATGCAATATGGAATACACTGAAATAAATAAAGGAACTTGGGCAATATGTTCATTTTTATAGAGTTGACACGGCCCATTAACGATAGTGGCAGATCACTCCACCTTTGAAAATCTAGTTTAGTATTTTCAAGAAGTGGTATAAAGTTCTTTTTAAAGAGATCTTTATATTTGCGAGTAACTTTAACCCCCAAGTAGGTCACGTAGTCCGATTTAACTTTAAAAGGGAACTTTACAAATGAAATCTCCCTGGCTTTAGAGTTTATACTAAATAATTTACTTTTATGTAAATTTAGTTTATAACCCGAGATAGTGCCGAATTGTTCAAGTATGGTAAGAGCATGGGGAAGAGAGCCCAAAGGATCTGATATAAACAGCAGGAGGTCATCAGCATATAAAGATAATTTGTGCTCCTGATCAGCTCTATAGATGCCCTTAACCTTATCTTCTGCTCGCAGCTTAATCGCCAATGGTTCAATTGCTAACGCAAATAAAAGAGGGGATAAGGGGCACCCCTGTCTTGTCCCACGATGAAGAGGGAAGTAACAGGAATACAATGAATTTGTTCGAACACACGCCATAGGTGAGGAGTAAAGTACCTGAACCCAAGAGATGAATTTAGGGCCAAATCCAAATTTATTTAATATGTAAAATAAGTAGTCCCACTCCACCCGATCAAAAGCCTTTTCAGCATCAAGCGAAACGGCGACTTCAGGGGTTGCAGTTGACTCCGTGTATAATATATTCACAAATCTACGCAAGTTAAAAAAGCCATGCCTTCCCTTTACAAATCCTGTTTGATCAGAAGAAATAATATGAGGTAAACATTGTTCTAGCCTGTGAGCCAGGATCTTAGATAATATTTTTAAATCCACATTTAACAGCGATATTGGACGATATGATGAGCATTCAGTTGGGTCCTTATTTGGCTTTAATAACAAAGAAATAGTGGCTTGACGAAGCGTTGGGGGGAGACATTGCCAGTTGAATGATTCAACAAACATGTTTTGTAATAAAGGAGATAAACTATCTTTAAAGGTCTTGAAAAACTCAACCGGGTAACCATCTGGTCCTGGAGATTTTGCATTCTGCATTGAGCCAATTGCAAACTTAATTTCTTCTACAGTAATCTGTTCCTCCAGTTGATCCCTAAGTGTAGAGTCTAAAGTTGGGATCGTCATTTTTTCAAAAAATGTGTCAAACAAACCAGGCATTTTTAAA